TGAGCTCAGGGGCAAAGAATCTCGTAGTTCAAAAAGCTCTTTTGAAGAATATCTATAGATTAGATTTAAAACCAGACTAAAAATGAGCCCTTAGAACACAGAGGCAGTTTTTACCTGGCACTGACCAAAACCAAAGCAAGGCTCCAACTCAGATAGGATGCATAAAATCCCTATTGATTGGTTCTTAAACTGCAGTTATCAACTCACAGCCATACTCTGAAGTTCCTGCTCCCACCAAAGGGTTAGAAGGAGGAGGAGTAGCACTACAGCCCCGTAAAGGCCACTGTATTGAGCATTTAGTAATAGAATTCTCTAGAAGCCATCATCCCACCCCACCCCCCAGTTCTTTTCCACTGTTTTCTGTCTAAAAACTACCCAGGCCAAGCTGGGTTATTTGTCATGGTTTCTCAGGATCAAAATCAGATGGTCCAATTCCCAATTCAGTCCTATTTCTATCCCCATAATATTCTTTCTTAAGCAACTTTGTTATCTGTACAGTTTCTTGGTTCTTGATAGAATGTTGGAGTTTGGGATCATATATCCATATCCACAGCCATTTCCCATTCACCAGCTTAACTTCTCCCCCATCACCCCTCCACCCCACCCTACCCCAGCCCCCATTCCTTGGGATGTCAAACACCAGGACTGGCCAAGGTATGACAGGTGTGACACTCATGCTAGACATTGACCAAGATGCTTTATACTCGTAACCTGATTTATGGAATTGTAACCCCTTTGTACAACTACTTAATAATAATACTATTTAAAAACTCCTAGGCTTCAGGTACTCAAAAGGTTAAAAAAAATGCTTTTGGCACTGATCTCCTACCTGTTTTGTCCATTGATAATTTCACAGATTTCTTGGCTTTAGCTCTCAGGAAGGAAACAAAAACAGGAGAAAAAGAAAAACAGAGAAAAAACAAAGTTTCTAAAAGTATAACTTCAACTCTCCCTCCCTTTTCTTCTCTCCCTCTTCTCCTTCTTCTCTCTTTATTTTAGCGATTCTAAGGTTTGAACTCAGGGAAATTTGATAAGTTGGCACTCGACCACTTGAACCCGGATGCTAACTAGACCTTTTTGCTTTAGTCATTTTTCCGATAGGTTCTTCTGTTCTTGCCTGGGGCCACTCATAGACTAAGATTCTCCTACTTCTGCCTTCCATAGAGCTGGGATTATAGGTGTGCACCATTACGCCTGGCTTACTTGCAGCACTACGTTGGATACCTTCTCTAGGAGTTCCCTAAGCTGCTTAAATATAGGCTTTCCATCATTGTCCCCACATTAGTTCCTGCATTCCAGTTACCACTCAGTTGTCACCATCATCCTACAAATTCAAAAGCCATAGTGCCATCTCTTCTACTAGGTCCTATTGCAGATTTTATTGATCCTGCCCTCTGGGGGCCCACCTCTGTCTCTTCTGCTGTAGATACCAATTAATGTGCTCCTAGAACCCTGAAAAGTTCAATTATTTTTCTAGATCTCTCAGTCTGGAAATCTTTTTCCATCCTGCCATTTTACCTTATGTCAAGAACATAATGCCAGTATCATGTTGTCTTCCTGGTCTGTTTGGCTCAAAGTATTTTATAATTTTCTTATGGAACCTAATTTTTAATAATAAAAATGATATTTATTGAATGGATATTAGACACAGACACAGGCACTTAATGCATATTTTTCACTTACTTGTCCCAGTAACCCCGCTAAAATCCAGAAGACCAAAAATGGCTGTGGAGACTTCTAGACCAATATCTGAGTAATTCCAATGTATTGCAAAGATTGAGTTCGGAATTCCAAACTCAATCACACATTTTCACACAGTAGGCATCACCTCTGAAACTAACACACAAAGGGACTGAGTGTGGTACTTAATCTCCACTTCTTAGGAGGAAGAAATCAGGAGAATCAAAGTTCGAGGCCAGCTCAGGCAAAAAGTTATTGAGACTCATCTTAACCAACAATTTGGTAAAAATCTGTAATCCTAATATTTAGGTAGGATGATGACAGTTGAAGGTCATCACCAGGCAGAAGTATAAGACCTTCTCTCAAAAATAACCAAATCAAAAAGGGCTAGGCATGTGTAGCTAGCTTAGATGTTAGAATACCTGCCTAGCAAGCACAAAGTCCCAAAGTTTAAACTCTACTAGTACTCATTTAAATAAACAGAAAATGAAAGGAATAAATTAGACCCTTCTAAGTTATCTTCCAAATATGAAATTTATGACCCTTTAAAATTACAAGGAACTTATTAGACCTTTAGCCAACATTCAATTAACATTTTGTCCTCATGCCTATTGGTTGAGGTTTTTTTCTAAGTGTGTCAGTCCTGGGGCTTGAACTCAGGGCCCAAGAGCTGTACCTGAGCTTTTTCTGCTAATACTCTACCACTAGACTAGTACTCTACCACTTGAGCCACAGCTCCACTTCCAGCTTTTTGGTGGCTCATTGGAGATAAAAGTCTTGGGGTCATTCTTGCCCAGGCTGGCTTTGAGCCATGATCCTCAGGTCTCAGCCTCCTGGGTAGCTAGTATTACAACCATGAGCCACTGGCACATATAAAGGCAAACAGAGATATTATTTTAAAATTAGAGAATTCTTCCCTATTTATAAAGCATGTGCCCCCATTACGTCCTTTAATTTTCATATTATAACTGCACAATAATGACTGTTTTCTCCTACTTCACAGAAAAGGAAACTGAGACATAGAAAAGATGGATTACTTTTCCAGAAGAGCAGAATCAGAAAATTACAAGTGTGTATACCTGTTAGGCCCTGCTTTACCCCCTCAAATACCATTATGGCCACAGGCCAAGTTGGAACTCAGAGTTTGGGTACATTGGTATGAACACTGGCTCTCTGACACCTGCCTTCCCCAAATGTTCTTTAGTCTAAACGCTTTTAAATTGTTTTGGAACAGAATACCAAGTGCGGATTTATTTAGCACATCATTTCTGGGTGTATGTTTTCCTGAGCATTTATAGATCTGTGTTTTACTAAGAAGCTGAGTTTTTGTGATAAAGCAAGACAGATCATGATAAATGAGCAGCTATGTAAGCCTAGCTGGGAGGAGGACCAAGGAAGGCAACACCCTCCTGTGAAGTTAATCCCATTTCTTTTAGCTATTTCTTTATTAGTTAATGAGGTCTTGCAGGAAAAAAAAATGTGTATCTGTGATGGTGCTGCAGCATCCTTGCCTCTAGGTACATTTTCAAATATTCATCAAGTAGTAGCAAATCTGACCAGAGCTTAAACCAAAGGGGCATTAAGTATGAATTTCGTCAACTTCAAGTGTGGGTGGTCACAATGCTTCTGCAGAAATAACCTCAATAATCTTCCTCGTTGGTGTTTCCAGAGCCCTAGCTCTGGGCACCCATGTGAAGAGGTGACAGAGAAGAGGTATTATTTAGAACACTAGGACTCTGAAAGGTGGCCTCGTAAGCTTTGATCCTGCTTCCTGACTGACAGAAGTGTGGCTTGCTTTTGGAAAACAGAATAACTTAAGAGAAGCAAAAATAAAATGAAAAAGGAATTGCCAGTCAAACCCCTGGGAAGGGGAGCAAATGCCAGATCATTCTGTTCATGAGAGTCGAGGTGAGAGACTGACTTCCCACTTTGGTTCCTTATGGCAAAGAGGGAAAAGTGGAATGCCAATAGATGATTTGATGCTCAATGATGCATTTGGAAAGAAAAACAAATGTGGAAAGTGGTTAGCTACTGAGATGAGTCCATGCTACAAAGACCATGGCAACGACTTCTATGACCTAGATTTGACAAATCTCTTACATAGTAACAGGGTCCTCAGAACTGAACTAGAGTTTGCATGTGCCACACAGCTGTATGTGCATGCACACACACAAACAACATGCACCTCACTTCCATCACCTCAACACACAACCATAATGAGTACTGGTGGCTCATACCTGCAATCCTAGCTGCTCAGAAAGCTGAAATCTGAGGATTGAGGTTTGAATCTAATCCAGGCATGAATGTTCACGAGACATTTATCTCCAATTAACCACCAAAAAGTCAGAAGTGGATCTGTGGCTCAAGTTATAATGCTTTATCCCTGAGCAAAAAGCTAAGGGACAGTACCCTGAATTCAAGCCCCAATACACACACACACACACACACACACACACACACACACAAGTTTTTCATATTTTCCACCCTTTTTATGATTTTATTTCACAGAAAACTTCAGGAAGTTGACATCATAGGCCTCCTTATAACCCTATGCAGGTTATAGGCAAAGGTTTAATGGTTCTGGATGACCTAGACTATTTGGTATACTTTGGCTAAAAAAAAAATTAAATATTACAACACAATATTCTCCTCCTGTTTCTAGTTAAGTATCTCTTGTGCTGCTGCCAAAATGGTATACATCTTCCTGATCCTACTTAAGTATGCACTCAAGTAATGAATCATAGGCCAAAGTCCTCTGACCATCACCCCCTGAGAACTGCAATAAATCACTGCTTTCCTGGTAATTCAGTACCACCCCACTGTCCTTAAACAAACCCATTTGTCGCAGCCACCAAACCAGTTATTCATTGGAGTCTTTAGTCTTTCGCAGTATCAACTCTCAAATGAAGGAAATGAACCACACTTAAAGATGGAGATAACCAGGAGGTTTCTCTCGGTATAAACTGTGAGACAGATAGACGAATATCTGTCATTAACAAGGATTAATAATTCAGATGTTTCTTTCTGTAGCTCCATGTTCAACTTTTCTCTGATTATGAATTTCTAATGAATGTGAAAAAAAAACTCCTAGAAGAAAATAAAAGTACCACACTATAATAATATGTCTAGGAAAAAAAAATCTAAGAGCCTATGATTACTTCTTTTTGTCTCTTGTCCAGAGGACATTGAGGACACACTGACAGCCATTCAAGCTAATGATGGTTGTTCCAGATGTAATTTCAAATTTCTCACAAGAAATCACCATTACACATCCCCGAGATAAAGCTGACTGGTGTCCTGTCCTACATGCTCTCTTGCAGGTGATTCACATAACAGGCCGGCTACGCCTGAGAGTGTCGCTGTCCCATGGAAGGACTGTCCCCAGCCAAATCATGGGTCTTGTGGTTGTGGCTCATGCCTTGCCACCTCCTACAATCAACGAAGTCAGAATTGACTGCCACATGTTTGTCACTCGCGTGAATATGGACCTCAATATCATTTACTGTGAAAATAGGTACTTCCATTTTCCCCCACCTTCCATTTGCCTGTTTGCATGCTGGTAAGGATTTTGTGGTTTCCAACAGTCTGAGGGATTTTACTTTCCCAATGAGGCTCATTACAAATCTTGATCTTGTTGGTAATAGCTCCTTGGAATGACACCAAACATGCTTTTTATTTAAAATTGACACTGCTGTCCTGATTTACATTAGGGACAACAATTGAATGAATGTTCCCCCAGATATCCGTATGCTATAAAACAGAATGAGACATTATTGGCAAAATGATGTAGCTAAAGGCATCTTCTATCCAATGGTCCAGCCACACCGTGGCCACTGCTCCCACAGGTATTAAAAAAGGAGAGAGAACAAATGAGGATTTAAGGCCCTCGTAGGAAAAAAAAGGATACAAAGGGAATTTGCAACACTATTAGATAAAGTTCATCAATCTGAGGAACTCACCCTTATAAATTAGGGAAAGAGTACGGTAGTCTCACAATTAAAAAAAAATAGGGAAAGATAAGTCAGCATAGAAAGGAGCTGGCAGTTCTTCCTTAAGATGGAGCTTTTCTGAAGGGAAATTTCAGTTCCTGGTTAAAACATTTACTCTTTTAGATTACTCCCAAGGCAAGGGACAGGGAACCTTCAAGCTTTTCAGGGAGGCTCATCATCTGACTGTTAGGGAGAGAAAAATCACGGGGCAAAAGGAGAAGAGCTGCCCACCTATCATCTGTGGGAAGGCAGTGTGGTGACACCACTCACGCCCTGATGTTCCCGAGAGAATTACTGAGACAGTTTGAGAAAGATGATTTTGTGCCATTGATTGCTGTGGCTTGAAGGCAATCTCTGTTCACTGTGCCCTGTGAGTGCCTTCAGAAGGGGAATGAAAGCAGAAAGGTCAAGTGGCTTGGGGAATTGACCTCACCAGAGCCAAAGCCAAGCGAAGTCAGACAGCCCTGCTTTCAGTCTACTGGGAAACGCTACGGAGGTTTAGGTCAAGTTAGAAACCGCCTACCATTTCCAGCCAGGGTCTGGTTCAGAGGAAAGAATTCACCAGTGGGACACAGATAGTATTGAAGATACTTTGCACCTGCCACTCTTACTTGAGAAGGAACTGCAAATCAGCTTTTCAAGTTTTGCTAGTATTTAATAAAATTTTTTTACCATTGTGATGACACATTTGAGTCAGTCTAAGGTATACTGGAATGGACACTGATTATCAGGAAAGACAAGTTAGCCAGAATGATTAACTGGAATTTCAAGTAATGATAATGATAGGTGACTTTTAGTGAGCATTTACTAACATGCTCAGCCTTATGCAAATTTAAACATAGACACCATCTCCTTTAAGCTTTAGTACAGTTCCAGGAAGTGGGTGCTGCCATTGTTTCCATCATCTTAGAGCAACTTTAAGAGAAAGGACTCCTTGGCCTCAACCAAGGTTCAAAACCACGTCTTCCAGATCCAAACATTCATGTGTTTGGTTTTATTTTTTTAATCCTATGGGGTCTCCCTGGCCCCTTGTTTTTCTTCAAAGGTCCTATGGGTTCTCCTTGCTATCTGGCTTTTCTTCGAAGGTCAGACTACATAGATAAACCTCTGAGAAGTTTACTACCAACAAGGTTGTTTAATCTGCAATTTAAAATGTATAGCACTGAAGAAGCCCTCAATCAGGTGAGGCAGGAATAAGGCCAGAGGATGGAACTGGTCTAGTTTAGCTTCACCATAACTTTTGCTAATTTACTAAGGTTCCAGTAATTGTCCTTTATCCCCCAAATCACTTAATTATCATTCTTTTGACCAACGGATTTTTTTGACAAGCTCCATGATCCTGGTTGCCTCATGGTACCACACCAGTAATTGAGATCATTTCTGTGACCTGATTTAAGCTTTTTTTTCTTGCCATTAAAAAAATGCTTTCCACAACCCCCTATTAGCCAATACAATGCAGCATTATTTCCCAGCTGAGGATGATAGTAATTATGAAGACTTGTATTAAAGGTAATTGAGTATCTGATCTACAGAATAAGCATACTGTGTACCAGGCAGTATGTGATGTTAATTTCATTCTTTTCACCAATCCTCTCACCACCTCTAAGGTTGTTTTACAGATAAGGAAACTGAAGGTCAGAATACAAGAGGCCTGGGGATCCTGGTCTGTGGCCTTCTGATTTATGAGATCAACGTAACCACTAAGCTAGTCATGTTCACCACATTGAAGGGCTACAGTCATGTTTGAAGGATTTAATTCAAATAAAAACTAAACCAAAGAATTGCCTTCCCTAAAGTATAGAGTGGCTGTCTCCTGTGGTTTATTATTTAATTAGGGAATTGTTAACTGCAAGCTAACTCTTGTTCCTTGGCACTGTGGACCACTCTTCTCCATGTTCCCTAAAACGGCCTGGGGCAAAGCCAACATCTAATGTTTTTTGGGAAGCTGGCAAATTCCAGAAACACCAACCAGAGTCTTTTAATGGCATCCTTGTTCCCTCTTTTGCAGAAAGGGGGTGTAAATTATGCTTAGAAACTAGGCTTGTGGTTTTAGGAAAACACCAACTAATCTGTTTCGTACCATAAAACTATGGAATCCTTAGAAAGCCTTCCTTTTATATTTCCCCAAAATTAATCTTTACCTTACTAAGAACTTTGGTTTGGCCAAAACTATTATTTACATTGCTCAACATTGAGAAATCTACTCACTGAATAGTATATTTTAATTATACCCCATAGTATCTTAGCTTTGTATTTCCTATTTCCCCATCTTGGTGACCAAACATAAGCTCTTGTATTTCTTAAAGGTGTCATTTCCAAAGTCTTACTTCAGATTTGAATAGGCCCTATGTCATAAATAATATTTTTTAAACATGGGAACAGTAAAGAGAATACATTAAATTTAAATCCCAAATCCATCTGTACTTGGAGATACAGAGGGGTACGAGGCATTTTGACATGTCAGTTGTAAAGCAGGCAGAGTCCCCCGAATGTGTTTTCCAATTTGAGTTCTATTTTTCTATGCTTTGCCTAGGGACACTGATGTCTGGACAGTCAATGACAGGGGCGTGCGCACATACAGCCTGAGAGAGATGTTGAAATGGTTTAAAAGTTTCTGTGTGGAATCTACCACAAAGTATCAGTTAAAAGAGCCAGGACTAAAAGCTGAGCTCCCAAATGACTAAGACTAAAAAAGATAATACCCCCAGGCATCTGTATGTCTCAGCATTTAAATTATATCCCTTGAAATGCCAATTTGGACTTCATGCCAGGAAGCAGTTGAAGCCCTTTTTCATGGAAATACTCAATAGAAGACCAATCTGTTTAAATGAAAGGTGTCTCTAATCATTTGGTATAAACATAGTATGTTTTTATTTTATTATGTAACCTTGAATTATCTGGCCTGTAATGAGGATTGTGACTGAGTCTCAATAATATCACAGACTTATGTTGTCTAAGAGTGTGTTTTAAACACCCCCCTCCCCCCCAAAAAAAGTAAATTAGAGAGAAGGAAAACCTAATTATTTAAATAAAAATGCTTGAAAGCCAGGCACCAGTGGCTCATGCCTGTAATCCAAGCTACTCAGGAGGCTGAGATCTGAGGATTGCAGACAGCCCACGCAGCAAAGTCCATGAGTCTCTTATCTCCAATAAACCACCAGAAGCCCAGAAGTGGCCCTGTGGCTCAAGTGGTAGAGCACTAGCTTTGAGCTGAAGAGCTGAGGGACAGCGCCCAGACCCAGAGTTCAAGCCCCACGACTGACAAATAAATAAATAAATAAATAATGCTTGATCTCACACATTTCCTAACTCTGTAAAATCATGTTATGCAGTACAGAAATAATCTTCTCTATGAAGGGTTTTCCTAAGAGTGCCATGCCCTTGCAGGTATATGGCATGATGAAAATGTGTTAACAGTTATTCCACCATCTCTATTTTGCTCTTTTCTTAAGTTCGGGCCTGTGTTCTTCCCTTTGTAGGATTAGTGATTACATGGATCTGACCCCTGTAGACATCGTAGGGAAAAGATGCTATCACTTCATCCATGCTGAAGATGTCGAGGGCATCAGGCACAGTCACCTGGACTGTAAGTAACTCTGAATGAGGGAGAAACCCAGGCTGGTGTGTGTGTGTGTATGTTGTGTGGTGTGTGTGTGTGTGTGTGTGTGTGTGTGTGTGTGTGTGTGTTCTTTCTGGTATTTGTTTGGTTCAGCTCTGACTTTTCCTTTCATCTCTCATGTATACATTTGAGATGACTGTCAGTGTGCAGTGGAAAAAAAAGTGAGACATAAATCATTTCAACTGGTGTTGGCATTCGATTGAAAGTTGGACCTCAGGACAAGAGAAATTGCTGGATCTTTAGGTGTTCATTGGGAATTTCACGGTCTCTCGTGCTCTCTCTGCCAGTTAGCGGTAGGGGAACCTCTCTCCTCTTAAGTACTTCCTTGACCCTTTCATTTTCTAGAGAGCAATTTCCAATTTGAAATTTGTAGTCTCAGTTTAAAACGATATGTGGGAAAAGACAAGTTCAAATAGGCCAGAGCCTCATAAAAAAAAAAAAATGCCTCCTTGACTAGCACAAGAACTGGTAGACAAGGGGGCAGAGGACAGATTACAGTACGGACATAGCTGCTCTTGATGGCAACATCTTTTCATTGTATTCTGGAAAGACAGTTCTTCAGAGGAGCAAATACTTCCAGCCCCTGACTCCAGGACTCCCAGCTCCTGCCCCTCAAGCTGGATTCCAAAAGACCTTCTGTGGTACAAAAACAAGCAAGGCCAGCAGCATTCTGGTCTGGTCCAAGCAATGGCACACAGTGTCTTCATGTAGTATTCTCTCAGAGGAAATGCTCAATGCCATTCTTTCCCATCTACTTTTGTCTTATTTCTCAGGGTGTCTGTTTATTCTATGCATGGAAAGCATCTGACAAGAGCACTGGCCTGATGGACCATTTGAGAAGGAAATGCCCTCTTCTGCTCAGAGCTGCTTTTGATGACTATTCAATAGACTCTTCCTGAAACACTAGAGGTCTACCAGTCACATTCCTAGAAAGTTCTAACTCAGCTCTGAAATCTGATTTTAAATTCATGCTAAGTGCCACAAGTGAAAATGGTCCAACTTAAAGTTGGATGGTTTTATATAGCAATCACGGTCCAGCTGGAAAGTCTTTGTATTTATCTTCTCTCCCCCTTTCCTGTCATGGATGAGGAGAGATATTTCAGCTACCTTTTCCTGCCCTTTGCAAACTTTTCCTCATTTTCAACTCACATCTTCAAAAGCACAGCTAAACGGATAAGCTAGCTAGAGTCTCAAGGTGTGAACCTCTCACACTGGTTTTAAACTCTGCATTAGCAACACTGACATGGGACCAAATTCAGTGTCAAACTCAGTATCTCCTATCTCCTGGCAGAGCCTGACTGCAGGGCTGCTCTTCCTTACACTATAATCCCAACATCGAGCACATGCCATGATACTGCACACCAAGGATTTAGGGAACACACTTGTTGCTAAGAATTGAATGGGTGTTCTGTATCACAGAAGCAGATGGCTCTTCAATTAATTGAGGGGGAAAAATGATGCTGTTTCTTGGAAAGAAACATCAGGAATTTTGTTGCTGGGAATTCAGAGAAACGGGAGAACACTCAGGATCTTTAAAGGAGGCCATTGATTTAAAAAAAAATAGTAATATATGCCAGAAATCCAGACTTAAATGAAAAGATTATTTTCAGGACACTCTAGTAGATTCTGTGTATGAGGACAGGGGTGCTTTCTTGTGTTGAGTTAAGGTATAAATTCAGAGAACTGATGATGACAGGAAGTCATAACCAGTTGTTATTTGAAAAATGTCATGTTATCTCTCTAGGAATTGATTTGCAGCTGGAAGAAATTCAGGAACAGTGAGCTAGGACACTTTGTTGGGATTTGGTTGGTTTGGAGGAGGATTTTTTCCCCATAAAGCACTAACAAATATACTGAATGCTATTCTTTCACATCTACTTTTGTCTCATTTCTCAGTAGGTAGAATAATTTGAGAGTGCTGAAAATAAACCATTCTGTCATTCACTATTGTGCAATTCTCCTAATTTTTCTGGTATCTTGCCAACTAATAAACAAGGAAACTATGCTTTCAAATTCCATCTTTTTTTCATTACTTGATATTGACATACTGGCTGTTGGTTATGATTTCACCTACTAACAATGATTGAGTTCACTCTTAACTCATGCACATGAGTTCTCATTTTGAGTTCTTTTAATGACCTTAAACACATGAAAAACAAATAGAACAAGCTGATAATTCTGCACAGTAAAATACACTTCACATATTTAGCTATCATGCTGTGGAATAACTCCACAATGTCAAGTAGCACACAATTAGTAAAACTGTAGGGGGAAAAAAAGGAGTGTTTTGATCCTGAAGAATTTTGATCCTAATCAGATTGAAACTTCAACGTTCTTGTAGTGCTTAATATCTTCAATCATACATGCACACACATGCATACACACACAAATCAAACTGATTCCAATATTAGACTTTGCATTCTGGGACTGAAATAAAATGCTAAGATATACAAATGCACCTCACTTTTTACAATAAACATTAACATCATTACAAAGTCAGATTGAGTCTAAAATGGTGCAATGGAATGTCTGATGTTTACCTAATTCTCAAACCAAAGCCAGCCCAGTAACAAAATGACAGAGCATGTAATAAGTCTTGGTTGTGTAAACACTGGAAGAAAAGGCAAAAAGCCAGCACAGCATCTCTGCTTGTCTAAAGCCCTAGGCTATTACTAAAGGATGCTTCAACTGTGTTGTGTTGGCAAGAGAAGGTCATGGTGATATGGAATCAGTTCAAGAATAAGACAGAATTCTAAAACAAAGGGATGGTTAAAAAATAAACCACATTAACTATTTAGCTTTTCTTCCTAGAGCTGTTGGTACAGTTCCTGGTTCTGTCTATGAAAGACAGGTTTTAGACATCTGATCACACTTCCGATATTTTGATATCTGTCTTATGCTCTGATTTATGGATAAAAGTTAAAAGCAAAAAAGATTCACACTCACAAGTCTTTGATGACTAAAAATCCTATCTTTATCACTTTTTTTCCCTTAGCCTAGGCAACTGTAAATGAACTTGTTTCTTGAATAAGAAAAAAAAAAAAAAAACAGGGAATCTCAGCTACAACAAGTCTTGACAACTCTAATAACTGAATCAAGAAGATGGGTCCATCTCTCCTTCCACTGGGTTAATTCAAGATACCTGGTAGTTCACTGAGTTTCAGCATAGTCACTAAGCATCACACTGTTGATGCCAGCATGGAAGGTTAGTGACATACTAGGATTCTAAAGCCAAGAGTTTGAGTCCTTTCTGTGATAAAAATCACTCTTTTTTTTTTTAAAGACCGACTTCAAGTGAGGTGCTGATGTCTCACGCCTGTAATCCTATCTACTCAGAAGGCTGAGATCTAAGGATCCTGGTTCAAAGCCAGCCCAGACAGGAAAGTCCTTGAGACTCTTATCTCAAATTAGCCACCAAAAAGCTAGAAGTGGAGCTGTGGCTCAAGTAGTAGAGTGCTTGAGCAAAAAAAACTCAGGGATAGCACCTAGGCTCTGAGTTCAAGCCCAGGACTAGAACCAAAAAAAAAAAAAAAAAACCCTTAATTGATCAAATCAACATTAACATTTCAAAGTTTGAATTTCAAACCATTCCTATCATACCAATCATTTGGTTACTTCTCCCTCCATCACCCTCATCTTCCACTGCTTAGGATATGTAACCAGGATATGCTCAATCCTGTGTGCTAGAGTCAGACTTTCCACTAACCAAGGGCATCCATGTCATTCTGAAGTTATGAGTTTCAGCACAACCATTTACGACTCTACCTCTGTCTCTAACCCAAAATAGGATGCTCAGCCAAACACAGATCCATGCTTTGCGTTTCTCTTTTGTTTTAATGTTCCAAGTTACTACATTTTTAAAATTTTTATTTTCTTTTTCTATTTTATTTTAATTAATAAGTTTTTTTATTGTGAAAATACCATACAGAGAGGTTACAATTACATGAGCAAGGTAATGAGTGCATTTTATTTTCTTGTAAAGATGCTGTACAGAGGGGTTACAGTTACATCAGTAAGATAATGAGTACATTTCTTGTCGAGCATTGTTACCCCCTCCTGTGTTTTTCTCTTGCCATCCCTTCCCCATCTCCCCCACTCCTCCCCTCAAAGTTGTAAAGTTCATTTCCAACATGGTGTCTTGTGAGTGTCATTGTTGCAATGGGTCATCCTGTGTCCTTGTTATTTTGTTATTTCCCTCCCCCACCCATTAGATAAATGCAAGGTACCAAAATCAAATATAGTGACAACAGGGATATACTATAGGAGGAAGAAAATACAAAAGAAACCAAAAAACTCCCATCTATCCCCACCTTTTGTCTAGACTTGAGAAGAACTTGTCTTGATACATCTTTAGGGTTCAGGTCAAAGCAGCAACAACTCTCTAATAACCTTAGGAAGAAGCCTAGAGAGAAACCTCTTTGTCCAGGTGGCTTTGTGCTTCCCAGAAAATCTCAAGGCTCTGCAGCTATGGGATTCCAGAGGAAAGGAGCTACAGAGAATAGGTACCATAGCAATTTCCCTCTCCTTGGCACATTTATCCAGGATAAGAAAACTCGGACAGAAGAACTTCCAGATAATAAAGGAAAAGGAACATGACCAACCCAATATACTGGGTGGAGGAGGGAAAGAGAGATATTAAAAAATACCATAGCCAAAGTATTTATTTCTTAATCTCGTTCTTAACAGAATGCACATACAGCTACCTGGCATAATGCATTCCATGCTGCTTTGCATCAATAACCCCTACACTTCTCTCCTGAAGGCATCTCATCGCCAAATGCAAGCAGACTGCTTAATGCAGGACTAATTAGTATATCCCCTTCCAGTCTGTGGGCCCTCCATTGTAATTCCTTCCCAGCTCATTTTTTTTCCACAACCAAGCATCAATCAAAGTAAGTGCCCTGCCTGCCTAGGCAACACAAGATGTCCTCCATGCATTTGTCATCTGCCACACAAACAAAGGGGGA